AAAAGTTAATTTTACTGAGTGACCACAACTTCGTCGTAAATTTTTTCTTTGTTTTTTAGATTGACTAATTGTAAAATTACAGGAGCTTTACATAGCTGTTGGTATCAGCGGCGCCATCCAGCACGTTGCTGGAATGAAGGACAGCAAAATTATTGTGGCTATAAATAAGGATGGCGATGCGCCGATTTTCGAGGTCAGCAACTGTCCTTTTTCTTGACAAATGGGTTGCATGAACTTTTCTCTCACTAAAAACGTGAACTTTTGCTAAAATTTGCTCATTTTCATTCTTTTCCCAAAGTGACGGAATGGTTTTTTTTTTTTTCAGATTGCAGATATTGGGCTGAAAGCAGACTTGCACAAGGCAATCCCTGAATTAATCAAGGCTTTGTCGTGATTGTGTGTTATTATGCTTTCTCAAAAGTGCCCCAGAATTGTTCAGAGAATTACCTTCATTTCTGAAACACTGTCCCAGAACTGATTAAGCTTTGTCTTAAGAACTATTAGCTTACTTCCAAGTAGCGTCTGGGAGAGGGAGAGCTATCGAGCGATAGTGCTAACACTCAGATTGGATTTCACATTTTATTCAATCGTCAAGCAGGACACATATTTACTAGCATACACATCTGTCACGCGTTTGGTACATAAGGAGCGAAACACATAGGCACCTGACAGCGTTTAAGATCAGTGCCACGACGTGCAATGTCTGCGAAGGAGAAACCAGAAAGCAGGGTTGTTAATGTTGCTAGCGAACTTTCCAACGGAATGAGCACGAACGAGTTACGTTGGACTATTCCTGAGCGCCGCCGTCTTCCGTAGAGAATGAATATGGAGAGGGTTTTGAATTTGATTTTAACTTAATTGTGTAAGTTTATTTTCGAGTTGTTCATTATTCTTTGCTTTTCTGGCGTAAAGCTATCCCAGAAGTGATTAAGTGCATATTAGCTTCTTTAGAACTGAATGAAGCCACTGTTTTACGGCACGAAATATTTTATTTATTATATAAGGATATATATATGCCATACATATTGTTTGTAAGAAATAATGCTGGATCAGTGTACTAAGTAACAAGGATTCTGAAGAAAAGGCCACAGAGCGAGGCTGCTAGTAGCACTGCAAATGATTTAGCACCCAAACTGGACAGTGTATTGGGCATTGTTTTTATACTCATTGGTTCGTCCAAATATCATCGGAACGAAGCATACTTTTAATCTTTTCCCAGCTCAACTCAGCATCTTGTAAGTTGTATATGTAAGCGTTTTCATCTTATTGCTAAGTTTGTATACTACGAATCCTACTGCATGTGTATAATTTTTATCAAGCTTGCGAATTTTGATTGTAAGGCTGGATGCATTTTTCTGTCAATTTGCTATTTTGTAAATATACTCAAATGTGATAAATTTTTTTAAATGTTCCTGGACTCTGTCCAGCATAAATATCATCGAGTTAGGAAAAACAGAAAAAACGAATCAGTGTCCCCATATTAGTATAGTAAAAAACTACTTGGAGTAAAATCAAGGAGGCAGGAAATGCTAGTTGTACGAATGTTAAGGCATGTGACAGTGAGGCTGAGAGGTGGCAATTTTGCGCTTGGGAAATGAATACATATTTGGAGGGATAGGAAAGCTGCCGCAAAGAGTTAGAATGGTACTTAAGATGAGGTAGTGTACGAAGCTATAAACGATGTGTAACAGTAGGAATGAGGGAGGACCGCTGATGAGCCTCGTACGGGGACTAAGAAGAGTGGTGAGGAGGTGTGGCTGCTCTCCTTTTTATACCAGGTGCTTTATATTCCTTTTCCGGGGAGGTACTTGGCGCATTACCCGTATGGTTATTTCAGTGATACCTTACTCGATTTATGTCGTGGGTTTCCACGTCTGTGAAGGGTCCTTATGCACATGGAAGTTTCTATGGCTGCCAATGGCCACCGGGCAATGCAGTGCTAGTCGAAGCGACTGAAAAAGCTGCCAGCAGCAGGGACAGAAAGCCTTGCTATGAATTACTGACCTACGTAATCTAGAAATGCCTTAATCTGAGCTAAATTACTAATTTTTCTCATATATACTATAATTTTCGGTCTT